AGTTTCTAGGACAGGATCCTGATGTAGCCAACCTTGCTGGACAGTACACCATCCTTACTCTACCCTCGGTGTTCTCATTGGCTATCAGTTTTCCTACTCAGAAGTTCCTACAAGCCCAAAGCAAAGTTGATGTAATGGCTTGGATTGGATTTATTGTTCTAATTGAACACGCCGTGCTTCTCTGGCTTTTTATTTCTGTTATGGGCTGGGGTCTGCGCGGGGCTGCAGCAGCTTTCAACATCACAGAATGGGTGACTGCAATTGCCCAAGTTGTTTATGTATTTGGGTGGTGCAAGAATTCATGGAAAGGCTTCTCTTGGGCTGCTTTTAATGAGATGTGGGCCTTTGTTAGGCTTTCAATTTCTTCTGCTGTGATGCTTTGCCTTGAAATCTGGTATGTGATGAGCTTACCACTTCTTGCAGGTCACCTTCCAAATGCTGTAATCATTATAGGTTCCCTTTCTATCTGGTGAGTTTCTGAGCCTCTCCGACTTATGACTTGCAAGTTTATTGTCTATTTGCAAGAATGTCAAATTGCCATGGTTAAGAAATTGAACAATAATTGTGGTATCATACTAAATCTTCCTGGATAAATGTATACTGGATTATTATTTCTGTTGTTTTCTGCAAAAAAAGTCGCTTATGCAATTCTCTTATTTCTGTTTCAGCATGAATGTAAATGAGCTACAGTTGATGATATTCGTTGGCATAAATACTGCTGTAAGGTACATGCATACATATCAATATTCTTACTATGTTAGACACACAGCTTTTCTATTCATTTGTTATAGGAGTTGGAAAATTCTGTCATGATACTATATTCGTAGAAGCTGTAAGTGGATATGATGATTTAATCTATCAAATTTGAAGTAATTTTCTGTTACTATTAGTGTTCGTGTATCAAATGAGCTCGGGTTGCAGCGTCCAAGAGCAACCAAATTCAGTGTTTATGTTGCTGTCTTCTAGTCTCTCATCATCGGGCTTCTGTGCATGGTCCTTATCCTTGTCACTAAAGACTATTTTGCTGTTATTTACACTGATAGCAAGGAATTGCAACAAGCAGTTTCTAAATTAGCCTGGTTTCTTGGTGTGACAATGGTTCTTAACAGTGTTCAGCCTGTCATTTCAGGTAGACTTACACTTAAATTTCTTCGTATGTTTTTGTGACTTTTTTTGTGTCAAATTTGTACATCTCCTTTCTGGCTTTCTGCCAACGTTCAACTGATGGACTGAGTACTTCATGTTTCAATAATTTGTTTCTGATCATATTTGTAGGAATTGCTGTAGGATTGGGGTGGCAAGCCACTGTGGCTAATATAAACTTGGCTTGCTATTATGCATTTGGGATACCTCTTGGATACATTCTCGGCTATGTAGCACATTTTGGAGTGATGGTACTGAATAATATTCCTTTCCACTAGCACTTAAGATTAAATTTCTTCATTAGCTACCACAGTTTCTGAAATACGGGTTTATCAATTATAGGGCATTTGGGGCGGCATGATAGCTGGAATCTTCTTGCAGACACTCATTCTACTCTTTATCCTTTATAGAACAAATTGGAGTAAAGAGGTGAGCATGACAGAGCTTTCAGTTGTATTTACTTTCTTCTAAAAGCTTGGATTTGCCATAATTCAGAGATGATATCTTGATATTTTGCTATATAACAGGCAACTGTTATTAAGTCGTCTGTCCTGACTCAAAGTTAACATCGAGCCAGGCTCAGAGATTAACTGATTAAGGATATAAGGAGTGACAGAGGATTAGAGGCAGTAGTAATCAATGCAAACAATGATTCAAAGGTTTGCACCTTAAGTAAAATTAAACTCTTTCGAGTCAAGTTGTCATAGGTGTAATTCATGAATCTCCTTGTACATGGTGTTTAAGCAGCAAACTTGCATGTCATTTGGCTATGGGTTAGGACTTCTTTTGGCTATGCTATTCAGACTTGACTATTAAAATTTTTGGCTCCAATATTGGTACATGTACTGGAGTTTGGGGTGAAACTATCGAGTACATGGGTACTTGAGATGGATTGAAGAGAGTTCGAATACACACTTGTGTTTGCTGTTAGCCTGAAATTAGACATCAGAAATGGTCTAAGGCTGTTTACTGCTGAACAAACTTCCACCTTAAAAAAATGTCGAGTACATCGGTACTTAAGATGAATTGAAGAGGTCGAACACACACTTCTTAAGTATGCTGTAAAACACATTATAAAAGGTTTACATCTGAACAAAACTCAACCTTAAATTATGCAAAAGCATTCTTAAAAGGGTGGTGGTTGTTAATGTCATAAACTTGCAATAGACAAGATACATGACTGAGCTACCTCCTGTATGATATGCAGGTGGAAGAAACAAGCAGCCGCATGCAGAAGTGGGGTGGACAGGACATCAGCACACATAAGGTGGGCGACGACATATGAATGACTTACTGCAAGTGTTGCAGAATTTCTGCTCCTGCATCATCACTTGAGCTTCATATAGCAGAAAATTCGGATGTTTTGACTGGAGCTTATGTTATCCACAACTCCAAGGGTGAACAAACCACTGAGACAGCGAAAAAACAAGTGTTTCATGATGAAGCCGAATGATCAAGTCACCATTTATTCTATTACTTAACAGTTAACCTTCCAAAGTTTTGTGAGCTTTTATACAAATGAGGCACATGAACATTACAAATTGAAAAACAAATTATGATTTTAGGTAAAACCAAGTTCTTACATTTTTGTTTAAAAGGAAATAATGGTATTTTCAAATTAAAATTATTTATTTTTTACTAGTATTATTTTCATTCGCTTACTCATTAAAAAGATTAAAAATGATGGAATAAGGTCCTACCGAGATTTGAACTCGGGTTACTGGATTCAGAGTCCAATGTCCTAACCACTAGACCATAGGACCATTTTGTTTTTATACTGGAAAGAACTTTAAATTATATAAGGAGCATGCAATAGACAGTTTACTTATCCAAGTGAGAAATAGTGTGCCATGAAGATGGTGGATTTCATTGTTTCAGGTTCAATGGGGAAAATTAGTAATTTTATACTTTGACCTATATTACGAAGTATAATAACATATTGTTATTTTATACTCCGTATTTAATACAATTTGGAAATACGAGTCTACTACCATAAATAAGTGAACTGCCTTCCATGAAATTGGTAGAATTGTACTTTGTATTAAAAAATTTAAAACTGTAAATGGAAAATGGATATTTTAGAAAATAACACCATAAACCCAAATTTGATTATAACACCACCACCAAAAAAAAAAAAAAAAAAAAAAAAAAAAATAACCTTTTATTATAACACCATCGAAAAACTAAAAAATTGGTTTCACCACCACTAAACTTTGTCCCCAAAAAAACCGTTAAGTAGGTCCCACATGATACACATGTCAATCATCTATTGGATTAAAAATAATTATAAAATAATTAAAAAAAAAATAACCTAAAATGATAACCCAGCCACCACCGCCGGTGGGTTCCCACCACTGTCACCCATACCCAGCCTCCAAACCTCCGAAACCGTCGCCGAACCACCGTAACCCCAACCTAAACCAGCCGAAACCCCAACCCACACCGTCGCCAAACCACCGTAACCCCAACCTAAACCAGCCGAAACAGCAACATCACCCCCATCACCATTGCTGAGCTCCTTTGCCCTCCCCAAAACTATCGCCGAACCGCCGAAACCCTAACCCACACCCATACCCAAACCCACAAACCGCCTACTCCTCTCACCCTCACCTAGTCACCCTGGACACAAACCTGTACCCAGAAACCAAATCGAGGCTGAGGTTGGGGTACGATTGGGCTACTTTCGACGGTCGAGGGTGGTCAGCTGGCTTGTTTCGTCGGTAGATGGTGGTTAGCGCAGTTGGGATTGGTTGACAGTGGTAGGGGCTTGGTTGGGGTGACAGCGATGGACACTGGCGCCGGTGGTGGCTGGATTAAGATTTAGGGTTTTTCCTTTTTTTTAAAAAAAATTCTTTTTTTTTCATTCTTTTTTCAATAAATAATTGACACGTGAACAATGTGGGGCCCACTAACGATTTTTTGGTGGTGCTTTAATAAAATTTTAAAATTTGTGGTGTTATAATCAAATTTGTGTGATTTTTATGGCGTTATTTTTTAAAATGTCCAAAAATAAGTTAAATAAACAAAAATGGTGGTAGGGAGAAAATGCACGAGGGCCACAAGGCAATAGCATATCGTGGACATTTTTATATCTTTGTTTATTTGTTTATTGAACATTGTGAATTTGTGATGTTGAAGCAACAAATAAATGTACTTTTACTCCGCTTCAATCATTTTTAGATTTTTTTTTCATTTTTCAAAATAATTGGACTAGGTTAATAGTCAACCTAATTAATACAAACGCATTCATATATCCAATTATTTTAGAAAAAAATTAGGTTATTCCCGTTCGATGTATGGTTAGAATTAATTTTTCTTGTAATTTATGTTCCGTTACACATTACATTGTATATGAAGATTAGAATTAGATATAAAAATAATTTACATTTAAGGAAAGTAAAAAAAATTGAAATGCACTACCAAACATCAAACAAATTAGGTACGTGAAACTATAATTTAGGAGAAAAACTTGATTAATTGAATTTTATATAGACACTTATGTATTGAAGTCAAAGTGTAAGTTAATAATAAAAATTAAAAAACATTAATAATTGATCTGATGACATCATACAAAGAAATTGGAGGGAAATTTTTTAATGTAGGAATGACATGTAGGATAGTTTGAGGGTTGATGATCTCAGTAATATTTTGTTTTAGTAATAGTTAATAAATATGCAAAAATATTGATATTTGAAAAAATGAAAAATGTTGTACTAGAAGCTAAAAATGGAAAAAACAAATGAAAATATAACATTAATTACACTGATTTTTTCTAATTTTGTCGTGTATTCTTAAATTAATACAAAATTAAATTAGGAAAGATTCTCCATATTAAATACTTATTCTTAGCTCAATATGAATCTAATAAAATCTTTATGACCATGATACTGGTATAAAATTGACTCTATTATTTATTCACAACCCTCGGTATAACAATATAAGGTACACTCAAACTATTGCAAATACTATTCAAAATTGATCAAAGTAGATCAAAACCAAGCCAAGACATTTATATTTATATTTATATAAGACCGTATTCATTTCACCATCAAATATTTTATTAAAATATATATTCATATAGTGCCATCGTGCCATCCCCAATTAAGTATGAAGTAATCAAATACGAAGTATATAAATAAAAATCTAGAGAAGAAAAAAAACAAAAAAGCATTGTGTGAAAATGGAGACACCATTGCTAAACGGCGGCGACGGTAACAGATTGAAGGCGGAGAATGGTGACTATGCGGAGGTGAAGAGCATTAGCGAGGCGGCGGCGGTGTTTAAGGAAGAGACGGGGAAGTTATGGAAGATAGCAACACCATTAGTGTTTAACATTGTTTGTCAATACGCTACAAATTCACTTACAAACATTTTTGTAGGACATCTTGGAGAGCTTGAGCTTTCTGCTATTTCTATTTCAATGTCCGTCATTAACACCTTCGCATTCGGCTTCATGGTTTTTTTTCTATCTCTATTACTCGTTCGAGTTTTTTTTAATTTACTCATTTTGAGTTTAACTTTTTGCATTATTTATTCACATTTTTTGCAAAATGTGTAATGTTTAAAGTCAAGCCAATGTTTGAGTAGGTAGGGTAAAGTTAGAAGGACTTTTATATTACACGGCTTTAATAGACGAACAATAAAATATCGCAATAATAATTTAGGAAATTATTACATGTATAATTTCCTACTCAGTCCTTTGTGCTCATTTTTGCCAAACTCTCACATTACTTGTAGTTTATTGGTCAGTCCAGTATTGACCCATGACTTTATAAGTACTAAATTATTTTAGAGCCTTGATTTTGATGTTCAATGTTCGTAAATGCTTTGTAAAAGATTTTAGCAATAATAGTAATGAGGACATAACTGAGAGTGAGGGTAACTCAAGTGGTTAGAGCTTGATTCTCAATTTCAGGAGATCCTGGGATCGAAATGAGGACATAACTGAGTCAGTCTAGGCTATTGCAATTAGGTCATAGTAATATTAGAACTGCTGATAAATCGGGTGTGCAGATTGGATTCAAGTCACAATGGATCGGGGTCATGGTGGGTTTGTGTGTCTATGGCCTCTATGTGGATCATATTTGAATTTGGGACTTTTTGGTTACTTTGGATTAAGTAGGGTTATTTTCAGGCCGGAATGGTTTTTTAGTAACAGCCCATGGGGGTGTTATCTGATAATTTTCCTAGACATTCTAATACAGAAACTTTGAACTTTATTAGATAAAAATATATTTATGTGGACATTACATGCATAAAAAACTTGTGTTATAAAGTATTGAAATGCCTAGAGTTGTTAATTAGTGTGATGGAAAATCACTTGGTGTAATGGTTTTTACAAACTTACAATGTAGTACTATTATTTTTCAAGTGGGAGCATGTAGTTTTTGGAGATTTTAATGGGGACAAATATTGTTGTTCAATATTGTAGCTTGGCATGGGGAGCGCGCTTGAGACATTGTGTGGGCAAGCTTTTGGTGCTGGGCAAGTTCATATGCTTGGAGTTTACATGCAACGCTCGTGGATAATCCTATTGCTCAGCAGTCTTGTACTCCTACCAATTTATGTCTTTGCTGCACCAGTGTTAAAGTTTCTTGGACAGGACCCTGATGTAGCCAACCTCTCAGGACAATTCACCATCCTTACTATACCCTCACTGTTCTCGTTGGCTATCAATTTTCCTACTCAGAAGTTCCTCCAAGCCCAAAGCAAGGTTAATGTAATGGCTTGGATCGGATTTATTGTTCTAATTGAACACGCTGTGCTTCTCTGGCTATTCATTGCTGTGCTGGGTTGGGGTCTGCGCGGGGCTGCTGTAGCTTTCAACTTCACAAGATGGGTGACTGCAATAGCCCAAGTTGTTTATGTATTTGTTTGGTGCAAGGATGCTTGGACAGGGTTCTCTTGGGCTGCTTTTAACGAGATGTGGGCATTTGTTAGGCTTTCAATTGCTTCTGCTGTGATGCTCTGCCTTGAAATCTGGTATATGATGAGCATAACACTTCTTGCTGGTCACCTTCCAAATGCTGTCATTACTATAGGCTCTCTTTCTATCTGGTGAGTTTCCGATTCATGACTTGTAAGTTTGTTGTCTACTTGCAAGCATGTCAAACTGTGGTATCATACTAAAACTTCCTTGATAGTATTCTTAACAACTAGCTCTTGTTTTTCTGCAAAAAAGTCGCTAATGCAATTTTCTTCTCTGTGTTTCAGCACGAATATAAATGGACTACAATTTATGATATTCATTGGAATAAATGCTGCTGTAAGGTAAATGCATACAAATCAATATTCTTACTATGCTAGACGCTAACCTTTTCAGTTCTTTTGCTTTAGGAGTTACGGGATAATATCTTGATCCTATACTCTTAGAAGCTAGAAGTGGTTTTCATCAATCAATTCTGAAGCAATCTTTGTTACTTCTAGTGTTCGTGTATCAAATGAGCTTGGGTTACAGCATCCAAGGGCAACCAAATACAGTGTTTTCGTTGCAGTCTTCCAGTCTATCATCATCGGGCTTTTGTGCTTGGTCATTATCCTCATCACTAAAGACCATTTTGCTATTATTTACACCGATAGCAAGGAATTGCAGCAAGCAGTTTCTAAACTAGCTTGGCTTCTTGGTGTGACAATGGTTCTTAACAGTATTCAGCCTGTCATTTCAGGTAGACTTACACTTAAATTTCTTTGTATGCTTTTGTGGCTTTTTCTGTCTGTCAAATCTGTGAATTCTCCTTTCTGCCAACGTGCAACTAATTGACAGACTCCTGATCGAGCAGTCTGGATTTGAGTACTAAGTGATTCAATAATTTATTTCTCATCATATTTGTAGGAGTTGCTGTTGGAGGGGGGTGGCAAGCCACAGTGGCTAATATAAACTTGGCTTGCTATTATGTTTTTGGGCTACCGCTTGGATACATTCTCGGCTATGTAGCACACTTGGGAGTAATGGTAATATCACTTTCCCTTTGTGCTTAAGATCTTAATTCTTCATTATAAACGATATATTCTGAAATATGGTTTTATCAATGACAGGGCCTTTGGAGCGGAATGATAGCTGGAACTCTCTTGCAGACATTCATTCTACTCTTCATCCTTTACAAAACAAATTGGAATAAAGAGGTGAGCTTTACATAGCTTCCAGTTACTTTTTCCTTGTTTTTCTGAAGTTTGGTGTCAGCATAATTTGGAGATATGAGATCTTAATACTTCACCTTAAGTCGCATTGCTGTGTTTCTTGACTTTCTTCTGTTCATACTCGCATAGTCGCAAGTATTTTTTGCTAAGGGTTAGGACTTCCTTTAGCTATGTTCTTCTGACTTGGCTATTAGTTTTTCCAAACACTGGTAGTGGTACGCATATTGAATTTAAAGGTAGAATTGTCGCGTACATTGGCACTAGAGATGAATTGAAGAGTTCATATACACACATCTCAAGGGTTTAGGGTTGTCTACTTGTGAATAAAACTCCACCTTCAGTTGTGCAAAAGCATTCTAGAGTCGCTGGTAATAGTTGACATCGTAAAAAGGCATTAGACATGACTGAGCCACCTCCATGATATGCAGGTGGAGGAATCAAGCAGCCGCATGCAGAAGTGGGCAGGGCAGGACATCAACGCAGATAAGATTGGTGATGACATATGAACAACATTTCTGTTCTTTCATCACTCAAGCTTCATTTAATATCAGAAGAATTGGATGTTTTGACTGAAGTTTATGTGAACGAAAAGGTGAACAAACTAATCTGACAATGAAGATTTTCCCGTGACAACGTTGAACCAGTAATTCCATTTTTTGAGGGTTTTTTAGCCTTCAAAGTGTTCTGAACGTTTGGAGGTGCTTCTGCAGGCATTGCATCTCTAAAATCCCAGCAAGATCATGTTAGAACATCTTACTGATGAAATATTGTCATTTGAAAACCTTGTTACAACAGTCATTCTACTCTGTAAACCTTGTTGTTTAACGCTGAATCTGATCATATTACCGCATATGATCAGCATAGACTCGAACTTAACCAAAGATTGCAACTGTAGTTACAAAATTGTAACCACATTCTTATGCCGTTTCATATTATTGAGCAGCATAGTGTTCTACGGTGTCTAGAAAATAATACTCATGTGTTTTTAACTATTGTCGTGTATACTACTTTGACCATTATTTTAATAATCGTGTTAGTTTGAATGAAAAAAGTCACCCAACCCACAAGACATGACAAACGTGTAGGCGGCTGGCGATATGGGCATCAGTTTCTACTGCAGGGTATATGCGTTATTCTGATGAATTAAAAAAGAAAACAAAAATTACCCACACAATACAATAAACCATTAGTTATTTACCCATTTAGCTTGATAAAATAAGTTGTTACCAACATATAATATTTGTAGTCACTTGATATAAGTTCTTAACAAGATATATACTTGTATTAGTTGTATATATAGTCACTTTCTGAATTCGGCAGCCTGTAGGCAATACAATTTATGCACACTACAAGCACAATGAAGCACGAAACGGAACGAGACACAACGTACAACCATCTTTATAATAACCTAGTGAGTAAGATTTTAATTGACCCGACTAGCATAAAAATTGATTATTTTATTTGATTGGTGTAGGTTAAGTAGGTTAAGTTTACAAAGCAAAATTGATCTTAATAATCAGTTTGGTGATATACCAAAGAATACGCCAACAACCAATTAATCAACAGCAGTAACCAAATTAATCAGGCAGACCATGTGGCCAACTAGACATCAAAATGATTAATTCTTACACTTAAGATTCAGATGTGTCAATCTAAACCACAATATTCTCTTATGCAAAGTTGATATCATGACGTCAGAGACAGGATTCGCAAGTTTACGAGAGTCAAAAGACGAAAAATCTAAGTTAATACTAATGTCTTTTTAAGTAAGAATCTTTCTTCTTCTGCAGCCTGTAAGCGTATCTCTGAATCAAATCTCCCGTAAACTAAGCTTCTTCAAGATCTACACAGCTGACTTTCTCTGATTTCAGAGAAATTTATTAAACACGGCCATTTATTCGACCAATCCAGATCCCAATCTTCTGTTATGGAGCGTTTGACGTACCATCTCTTGTAATTTTGCCACATCTTAACTTACAGCTTGTAACGTCTTGATCGTGCTTCGTGGTGGCATTAGATAGCACAGAGGCAGATCAATACTAACATACTGATAAATCCTCCTAAAGACTGCATCAGCAATTAGTACTATTAAATCACTCCAAGTTAGTGATGTAAAGGGAGAGATATGACCTAAAGTATGAACAATGGCTGGCTTTGCTCTAAACACATCCTGCCTTTGCTTTTAGAGCACAGCCAGCCGTAGGTCATAACTTCTGGTCATGAGGGAAGCAAGATGAGAGTATGAACTATGAGACTAAGAGTGAGGCAACTAGGCAAGTACCTCACTGCTCATTCTAATGAACACCAAATTTTCCATGAACAGAAGAAACACAGCAATGCATTAGTTTCCAGCAGCAACCACATCTAAGTAAAGGAGATATGTTAGCAACTGCTCGTACTACTAAATGGTTCAGGCGGAAACTCTTCTAAGTCATATAAGACAAGTAACAAACCAACCGGCAAAGAGTTATTTTGGATCTCCATCACCCAACTAACACGTCAACTGCTTGCTCTTGGAGTAAACTTCTGCAAGAGCAAATACAAAGAACAACTTGAGAAAATATCTGCAATTCACCAAGCAAGTTATGTACTTATATGGCCAGAATTATTAGTACACTACATATACAAGTACGAGAGTTGGACAAAGACACCTCCGCGAGAATGACAACCTTTGAAGCAAGTTGCAGAAGACCGACAAAAAGAGTCATTAAGGGTGCTCATCTTCAAACGCGAGAACAAGTTAGAAGTCAGTCGTACAAACATAGACAACATAGTTTGCCATTAACGAAAAATCAACTTGCAAATATCAATATTAATTCACAAGATCAGACTTGATCAGCATTGTCATTCATCATATCAATCAGATAACCACTTATAGCAGTCCCAAGTTAGAGGTTAAACGAAAAGTATGTTCCATCAGGCAGAGATAATCGAAAGGATTGGCAGTAATCCAAGACTGATTATCCAATAAGGGGGAGTTACCTCAGCAATGCAGAGGCCAGTTAAGAAGCTGAGGTAGCTGCAATGGTGATTCTCAACACACACTGCATAAGAATCACAGTAGAATAAGCACATGAAAATAAAAGTAACAACAACATAACAGTTGCACAAAACAATTTAAAAATTAAAAGAAGCAAGTTTTATTCCACTTTCATCTCTTTTATTTCATCTATCATTACAAATAATCACAACCTAAAATCTAAGCCGAGTACTAAATGTCAGACCATCATCGGTAGTTGATTAATCTCAGACCTGACACGGTCCTCTTCTCTAATGGTTCTGATTCCATCTTGTCCAAAATTCGGTCGCAAAGTTCTGAACTTTGACGGTCCTGGCATGTTTATCTTCCCATTCAAAGATTAATTCATTTAGATTACGAAAGTTAAAGACTTTTCATCTTTTAGGGAAAATAGGACATCCTTTTGTCCTTAGACTGATAAAATCAGTCGACGGCAGCGCCGCTGCATTCTAGCTGCATAATTTGACAGTGCACGCCACAGCCTGAGCCCAAAATTTTAGCCTTGCTTTGACATCTTCAGGATGATCACCTAATCAAGAGAACAGACAGCATGTTAAGCATAGCACAATGGGTAAAGAACAAATGTGAAAACAAACTTGAACATGCTGTGGCCAACTCATGCCTAACAGATGCCAACTATCTACAACTCAGAAAAATAAAAGCACACAATCCAATATACTACAGCAATTAACATTGTGAATGATTAGCTTTGTTCACACTTTACAGTTTACATGTGCACAATATCAAGTCTTTATTTCTGGTAACAATTTTGTCAGCAAATATCATGGAACACATGGAATTCTTTTAATCTTAGACATCAGAAACATAATGCAATGTTTACCTCAATAGTCTCGTATTCTTAAGTGTTTCAATCTTTCTAAACTCAATCAGATCAACTTATTATTTAATTACATATATATTCACATGATTAAGTAATCATTTGTCCTGAAATTAATTAGAATCAACATCAAATCTCTAAATACCACCCTGCATATCAGATTTAGTTGTCACATTACTGATTCAAATTACACTATCAATGACTATTGATTCAAGTAATTAACAGCTTTTCAAGGCAAATTAAATCAAAAATCATGATCAAATCCAGATCCCAAAAAACCCAGAAAAATTCACAGCACCCAGAAAAATTCAAGCAAAACCCAGATCATAAAACAAAGAAAAAACCAAACCCGGATCATAAAAATCAAAAATTATAAAATCAAACTCACCAGGACTAGAGATCTTCCAAGTAGGCATAGGACTAGAACTTTCAGACCCAGAAGACGACGCCGTATCAGTAGTACTATTAGCATGATTCAAACTTTGTTGATGATATTGTTGTTGATTAGGATGATCATCTAGAAACTTCTGAGACATAGAATAACAAAGCTCCAAAGCAGGCAAAGTATTACAAAGTTCAGGAATTTCATCATAACTAAACCCAAACCCTAAATCAACACAACCCTTTAATTCATCAAGATCATCATCAGTTAAGCTCTTTGTTCGAGGTAAATCATCGTCATCAGAGGGTTCAACGTATCCTTCTAAACAAACGTGTGGTACCCTCTTTCTGGGTTTCCTGATTCTGGGTTTTGGTTCGTATACAATCACCTCTTCTTCATCTTCTTGATGATCGGAATTAGGGGTTGTTGTTTGGTTGGAAATTATGGTTTTATCTTGGGATTCGGATTCGGGTTTGTAGGCTGCCATAGTTTTTCTGGGTTTTTTTTCTCTTTTCTTGGTTTTTTGGGTTTTTTCTCTCTCCAATTCTTTTGATTCTGTTGTGTGTGAGATTGTGAGAAATGGAGTGACAGAGAAGGGGTTATAAAGGTAGGGCTTTTGCAGTTAAGTCCCTAAATCGGTCATTAGACGGCTATTTTTTAATATTTGTTGTTATGCCATTATGTGGGGATAGAGGTGATAATATTGGTCCGGCCCGCTAGCCAGGCCCGATCTGGCCGGAAAATAGGGCGGGTTTGAGCAAGCTTAAAAATGTATTTTTTGTAAAAAAAATCGAACCCGACTCGAAAAAACCCACTTAAGTCCGACAAGCCGGTACTTTTTTGCGGGTTAGGCACGAGGAATCATGTTAGGGCCCGGCCCAGCCTAATTTTTGATCACCTCTAAACAACTCGGACAATGTTGTGTAAATCTTACTTCCTCCTTCCCCTAATACAAAGCCTCATTTCCTTTTTGGGTAAACCACAATACAATGCCTCTTTCTATTTAAAGATTGTATTTTTTGACATTATTACCCTCTTTTAGATGAGTTGTCATCTTTTTTCCTTTACTTTTTTGTACTTTTAACATCAATTTCCAACACTTTCTCACTTTCAATTATTCTCAACTATTTTTTCTTTCTCTCTATCTCTCTCTAACCCCACATGCACATATGTACTTTTAATCATTAGTTTAAAAAATTTACAACTTTCTTAATTCCCGCGCTAAAACCAAAAGAGGCTTTGTATTAGGGGACGGAGGGAGTACAATACTCCCTCTGTGTTTAAATATAATAAATGAAATAAGAAGAAAATAAGGGGTTTTGTGGGGGCCATTAGTCAATAGAATATTACTCCCTCCGTCCCAAAATATAGTTTTTCGTTTGACTTTCGATGGTCTCCAAGACGTGTCTTAAAACGTCTATATTTATATTCTCATATGGGTAAAAATTATTAAAATTTGATATTAATAAAATATATAATATGACGAATCCAACAAGATCCACATGGCTGGAAACAAAATCTCACATGAATATATAATCTCTTATAAATTAAAAGGAAGTTATGGTCAATGTTTTTAATGTTTGACCCAAATAAATCAAATGAAAACTATATTAAGGAAAGAACAGGATATTAAAAAGTAGAGAGAAATTATTAAAAAATAGAGAGAAATTGACCTTTTTTTTTTCTTTTTTAACTATTTAATGTTAACTTTGACTAATGTTAACAACTATTATCATTTTAGGTCTCAAAATTACGAGTATCATTTTAAAATGTTTTCAAATACGAAGTATTCCCTTCATTCGTAAATGAATGTTACGCATGGTGATTTCACACAGTTATTAAGGAAAAGAAGATAGTGGAGACTTGGAAAGCTATGATTAAATGTCACATATATTAAGTATTAAAATATTAAGTCAACGTTAAAATGGGAATATTTTGTTTTGGGACTTGTTAAACATCGCCCGCGTTTTTCTACATAAAGCCCACATTTTTTAAAAATTTTGACATTATTGCCCTTGTTTTAATTTTTACCGAAAATAAAAATTTTCACTCACCAAAAATGTGGAGCAGGACTGGATCGCCGAGTGAAACCGAAGAGCCCTCAACGTCGGCTAGATGCACCGGAGAGACGCCGTTGACGCCGGAAAAGGAGGTACGAAGCCATCTAAAACCACGAATTGGCGGCTGGCGTCCTGCCGGGACGCCGTGAACGTAGTAGTGGCGCCTAGCCAGGACGCCGCCACCGTGGCGATGGCGCCTGGCCAGGACGCCGCCACCGTGGCATTGGCGTCTGGCCAAGACGCCGCCACCATGAAAGCGGCGTCCTGGCCAGGCGCCATCGCCACGGTGGCGGCGTCCTGGCCAGGCGCCATCGCCACGGTGGCGGCGTCCTGGCTAGGCGCCACTGCATTTATTTATTTTTTTTTTTTTTTTAATTTAATTTAAAATTTGTTTTTTTTTTTTTTTTTTTGTGTTAAAATTTTTTTTCGTTTTTTTTTTGTTTTATTTTGTTTTGTTTTTAATTGTTTTAAAATGTAATGTAAAATTTTGTGTTTGATTTTTGTGTTTTTGATCGCTATGTTTTTAATGTTTATGTTTTTTTTTTGGTTTTTATTTTTTATTTAATCTAAAGTTTTGTTTATGTTTTTTTTTTTTGTGTTTTGTTTTTTTTTTTTTTTTTTGAATACTTTTTGTTTATGTTTTTTATTTCTTTGTTTGTTGTTTATATTTTATTATTGTTTTTGCTTTTGTGCTAATGTTGTGTCAAATGTATTAATTTAAGCTAATCTTATGTGATTATATTTATATGTTATTGTTGCAGGATTATGGTGGAGACGGAAATGATTATAGTGGGATTTTTGTACACGATGGTCTGTTCGAAGATGCTCAACAAGCGGTTGATTGGGCGAAACACGTTGCAATTAGATCAGGTTTTTGTTTAGTAGTAGCAACTCATAAATCTCAACGGGATGGTAGAATGGATCGCATTTTGAGATGCGACCGTTATCGCAAAAGGGAGGAACGAGATTTCAGTCAAGCGATTCGGTTTGATACAAAGCGGAAAGGTTGTGGGTGTCAGTTCAGAGTAAAGGTTCGACAACAGCAAAGGGGTGACGGTTGGGAAGTGAAGAGTTACGGTAAATGGGGGTATCACAACCATGAGATGATCGCATATGAAGTGGGTCATCGACAGTTAAGTGGCCTAAGTCCTGGTGCGAAACTAATTGTAAAAGAAATGAGTGATGCTCAAGTGAAGCCTGCTAAAATATTAGCATCTGTGTTGGAGAAATTTCCTGAAGACCAGCCAAACCGAAGACACATCTACAACGTCAGACATAAATTGAGGTTTGAACGGTCAGAGGGAAGGAACCCTATCCAGCAGCTTCTACACCAGGCACAAGCACGTGGTTTGAACGGTCAGAGGGACATCCTGTCAAGCAATAACCGTATCGATCGCAGGCGGTCAATGGACTTCTTCTCGACACGCGGACTCCACGCACAGGCACGTGGCTGGCCATCCCCAATAGGAACCGGGTCGCGGTGTGGTCGAAACGCCGGGAAATACTCGTATATCCACGTCTGTAACAACGTCATACATCCAGTGATACCTGCCGCATCAGCCCGGCTCGAGAATCCTAACTGGCGATACATGTACGCTAATGTAGCCGACCCCCAAGAAAACTGGCCTACTCTGTCGGGCTCACACGCGTCAACTATGTCGCGTGGCCTGAGCTTGTTTCCGCTCTTATCCGGAAACAAGGTACACCCGAGAAGAAGAAAAACATATGCAGCCAGCTGTGTGTCCTGCGTCCTACGTGAAGTGGGGTGCAAACATCGCTGCAAAACTGCTGCGATCTTAACACCGCCGTGATCCCACACACCAAGTGCCGCTGTGTACAGCGCAGCCCTATCCACCGCCAACAGCTCCGCCAATAAATCTGCCTGATCCGCATCTGTGACAACAGATGCTCGGTTTCCCTCTACGGGAATCCCAAGGATGGCCTCGACGTCATGCAACATGATCGTCATCTCACCGAACGGAAGGTGGAAAGAGTTCGTGTCCGGCTGCCATCGCTCAACGAAAGCCGTGATCAGCGTCGAGTCAATCCTCTCATGCATGGTGGCAGGAAGGTGGCTCACTCTAGTGCCCCTCAATCGGCCGACCATCTCGCTCTCCTCCGGCCAAGCCTCAGCCCAACTACACAAGAAGTTACAAGTCCTCTCCCGGGTTTGGCATTTCAAAATGCCGCTATCCAAAGCCCGCTCTTGGTCCTCCCAAATACGGGTAGCGATGTGTCCTAGAAAGCTAGGAATCACACTCCCGTCTATAGGTCCCCCAGCCACCTCGCCCCTCACCACCCAAGAATCATTAAATGCCCTCGACCGTTTTCTGCTAACCGCAGACACAGTGGACGCAGATGATGTGCCAGATCTACTAACAAATCTACCATCTCTACCCTTACGCACGTCTACCCTACGCGTCTCATACACATCATCAAGCCTCTGACTGAATGGACCGTAATCATCATATGGTCCACTCTGATCGTCCACATCCTCATCTGCATCCTCCTCCTCCTCCTCCTCATCACCGTCATCATCTTCATCATCCTCAGAATAGTGCACCCGTTCTCTACGAGCCGAGGCCGAAATACCACGGGATCTAACGTGTCTGGGCCCCGAGCTCTCCATTGAGTTGATCGTACTTCTCATAATGTCCATACTCTTCCCAGCCCCAGAACGAAAATACGATGCCTAACACAAAATAACAAAACATGTAATATGCAATATAAACATGTAATATACACATAAAAAAAGTAATTAAAATAAATAAATAAAACAATATACATATGATGGAAAATAAATTAAAAACATTACAAAATATTAACAACCTAAAAATAAAAAAATTAATAACCTAATAAATAAATAAATAAAAAATTGGAAAAAACAAAGCAAAAAAAAAAAATTACCCAAAAAAAAACAAATTGGAAAAAACAAAGTAAAAAAAAAAATTAAAAAATAAAACGGAAAAACAAAAACAAAAAAAAGCAAAAAAAAAATTTGAAAAAATAATTCAAAAAAAAAATAAAAGAAAATGAAAAAAAAAAAAAAAAAATTAGGGTTCCGGCGCCTGTCCCAGACGCCAGAGCCACGGTGCTGGCGCCTGGGCAGGACGCCGGTGCCACGGTGGTGGCGTGTGACGTGGACGCCGCCACCGTGGTACCGGCGCCCTGCCCAGGCGCCATCACCGTGGCAATGGCGTCTGGGACAGGCGCCGGAACCGTGGTGTCGGCATCTGGGCCAAACGCCGCCGCCCAAACACCGCCGTCCAGCCACCAGTCGCCGCCGGGCCACCACCTTTTCCGGTTTTTTTTTTTTTTTTTTTAAATAAAAAAATTTTAAAAAAAAAAAAAACATACCTTTCCTCCTCCAAACCCCCTTGCTCCGGCCACCGGTGCCGCCACTTCCTTGCCTTGCCGCCTCGACATTTTGAAAAAATATTTTCGAGAGAGAAAGTGAGACTACAAAGTTAAGAGAAGATGAGAGTGTGTTTTTTACTAGAGTAGAGAAAATATAATTTTAGTTCGAGG